AGGGGATCTGTCTCTCGGAGACTTGGCAGCAAGTTGTACAGCCCTGTTCGATCTCCGTTTCTTTCGAGAAATGGGTCGAGAACGCCTCTGCGTCAGCCAACGCCTCTTGTAAGGCTTCCCGGGTAGGCCTAGACAACCGGAGGAGGTCGTACACGGTGATTCGCGCGGGTATGCTTTTCAATTGCGCGAGCACGTTGAACCGGTAAGGCTGGCGGCTTGAACTTGGCTCATCCGGATTGGGAGGGACTGCTGCGGCCGGCCTCGCGGGAGGTCCTGCTGGGTTTTCCGTCCTCGCGGGATATTGTTTTGCAAACTCCTTTCCGGCTCTCGTGGCGAAGACGTTGGTGTCTTCTTCAGAGTCGGTTAAGGCAGTCATCGCCGCGTCGTCTGTATCCAGGATGGCGGTGACAACGTTGCAATATTTCCTCTTAGCCTCCTTGGAAGGCTGTGCGGTCCACTGCTCGTCGTCGAGGAGGTCCGGATGGACCCACATCACTTGCCCTGATGGCAGAGTTTGTGGAACCAAACCCTTCTCCCGCTGGTTGTGAGGATCGTCGTTAGTGATCTTCAAAATCGCCTTGGGGATAGGAATTATCCCCGCCGGAGCTTGAACCTCTGGGAGACCCGTCCCAAAGCTCAAAGTGACCATGTTCGCCGTCACCTGCTTTTGGACCTTCTCTTTCTTCAAGACCCCCGCGTCGTAGAGGGCCTGGAGTTTGTCCTTGAGGACGTAGCATTTGGTTGTGTGATGCCCAAGGAATCTGTGATATGCACAGTAACTTGGGTCACCGGTTTTGTCTGCCTCTTCAGGCTTGGTGGCTTCCGGTAACTTAATCCGCCCACTCTTGAGTAGAGTGTCGAAGGTAGCTACCACCTGGTCTTCTTTGAAATCATATTGCCGCTGGGGGCGCGGTTCAAATTGCCTGGGTTTCGGCTTTTGAACGAACTTTGGCGCCGCGGCAGAGTCTACGGCCATAGCCTCTTTTCCCTTCGATCGGGGAGGGTTCTTTGGCGCAGCCGGCTCTGCTGCTCCCTTTTTGGACTGCGGCTCTTCGGCCTCCAGCCTCTTGATCATATTTTCGACTTGCTCACCTTGGCGAACAAGCTCCTTCCAAGTCCGGGTCTCTACCGCCCCTATCTTGGACAAGATATGGATCGACAGGTTGTTGCGGCACATCTCGATCAGTGTCGCCTCGGAAACTTGGTCCCGACAGTGGACTGATCGGTTCCGAAATCTCTTCACGAAGTCATTGACCGATTCCGACTTCCGTTGCTTCTCAGCAAGGAGAGTGGCCATTGACACCTCGGTGTCGTCGTCGAAGAAGCGGGCGAGGAAAAGCTTTTCAACGTCGGCCCACGCCTTGATAGAGCCGGGCTCCAATTTGCGGAACCATTCAAAGGCCACCCCCTTGAGGGTACCTATGAACAGTCGAGTGAGAATGGCGTCATTCCCGGTAAGGAATCCGGTTTGCGCCATAAAATAATAGATGTGCTGCGAGGGTGACCCCTTGCCATCAAACTGTAACAAGCTGATGGGTTTGAACTTCGCTGGGTATGGGACCGTGTCCCATTCCGTGGGGTAGGGACGTACCACCCCCAGCTTGTTCATATTTTGCTGAAGCTTCAGCGCGTTCAGCTGGTCTTGGAATTCATCGAACCTCTTGTCACGGGTGCTATCCGCAGTGTGCGACGTTCCTATTGATGTCTTGGAGGAATAATCGGAATGTTGATTATCCTCCGCCTCAGACACGGGACGGAGGGGAGGTACCCACTCCCTGTCTCTAGTTTGCCGGGGTAAGGGGCGTTGGGCCCTTTTCTTCTTTTTCTTCTTGTTCAGCAGTTGTTCCATCATCTCTCTTAGAGAGTCGATGGTCGCCTGCTGTTCCTCCAACTTTTGAGCCATTGTCTGCTCGTGGTTGGTATCGGTCATGTGTGCCCTCGCCTGCGCGTCTTGGCTTGAGCGCGAGGTCTGAGATGTGGCAGCGGCCGAATGGTCCTCATCTTCGCCGCAGGAGGGAGGTATTAGGTTGGAATAGTCAAACCCAATACTTACCCCCCGGCGACTACGGGTTCGCTGGAATATGCCTTCCTGCCGGCGTCGAGCGGACCGAGTGTTAGGTCTTAGGGCGGAATCCGAGTCTGGCGAGTCGGAGAGTACTGCCTTCCCTTTATCCGTCATGTTAACCGTGGCGGATGAGAGTTCCAAGTCATCGGCAGCGCGTCTTTTTTGGTGACGGCGCCTTTGACGGGAGGGCCTTGGTCGAGAGGACTGTTGGGACAGTCTCCCAAACACCGAAGGTCTCGCCGTTCCGACGCATTGACAGTCGGCGAGGACCGTGTGGATGAGTCTCTCGCAGTGGCACTGAGGATTCGCCTCATGGATAGTGCGTTTGCGAGTTAAATATTCTCTGAGGTCTTCTACGGGCGGTTGGTGACAACCCCCGGCCTCAGAAGAGTCGCTCTGGTGAGTCGACGAGAGGTTTTTGGGTGCGCCCTCTGGTGCGCGTTGGATGGAATGCTTTGGTGCTGGAGTCGAGCGATCTCGCCTTGACTGGCGAGTCTTCGCGTTTGAGCGAGCTCCAGTACGTGGGCGGGTTTCACCCCTTCGCCTGGAAGAACGGGTTCGCGAGGACTCGCCTACTTCTCTACCTTTACGTTTATCCGTCAAATGGTTATGACGAGGCTCGCCAGCCTTCGAGGATTCGCCTACTCGGGTAGGCTCACTCCTTGGGAGTGAGTTATTCGCATCAGGGATATGACCTGAGAAGCGAAGTCTTCCCGAGCGGGCGGCTCTGCCTTCCTCAGTTGGCGCTCCTGACTTGGAGGGCCTCCCAATGTCGGGCAGTTTGCCTTCTCGCCTAGCGTTCCTCGGGCCCGTATGATGGCTCAGGCCGTTATGAGGAACGGAGGTTTGGACCTCCTGTCTGACGAGTTCCTGCCGCCGCTGTTGGTTAGTTCTCCCAACGGGGAGAACGTCACCGCGAGCTGTGGCAGCGTGGTTTGTGCCGGAGTGAACCGGCGTTCCCTTCGGGGTAGGTGTCTGCGGGGATCGCTTGGCGACCCATTTGGCAGACCCTTGCCCTTTGCGCTCGACCCCCGGCTTGGCGTTGATCGATTGTGAGGGAACGGGTTCTTCCGATGAGACTCGGGTAGAACCCGTAGGTGCAGAGGCTTTGACCGTCTGAGGTCGGCCTCGACGCACGACTCTGTGACGTTTGCGGGACGCATCGCCACCAGAGGAGGAGGAGGACAAGTACTCTTCGTACTTGGCCTGGTCGAACTCAATTTCTAGGGACTCCACTGTCGTCCCTACAGCAACCTCATCAAACTGAGCCACCACCATTTCACTCGATGAAACAGCTTCTCCCACTGTGGTCGCCATCTTCTGTAGGGTGAATATTTGATTTCCCGAAAAAAGGGAGTTTCGTTTGTATTTATAAGAAAGCTTATTACAAACTAATGATCAAATAGTTACAACAGAAGCAGAGGGAAGGCCCTCTTTGTTTTGTGTGGGGACTTTTAGGTGGCTACAGGATGCTTCGCTCGATGCTCGTGTCGAGTCTGCTTCCCTTGGACCGTTCGAATGAGGTTGCTGGAGAGCTTCAGTTCGCAGTAGAAGCTCAACTTGAGAGAGTTCGGGTCTGTTTAGTTCGCCCCCCCCCGACTGCAAGCGAGTCGCTGGAGTACCTCTGCCAAACCGAACAGTGACGCTCGCTGGGATGTCGACATCATCATCTCACTCATCTGAATCAGCGAGGAGCAAGCCTGAGATGTAAGTATTAACCCAATCGTTCACATTTGACGATTTAATGTGTTTGGCACTGTGATTTTAGCCGTATTAGAACTCTAAGTTGAAGTAGTATCTGTTGTGTTATGTTTTACAGTACGCATGATATCAGAATTTCTTGCAATATACGTGGATATTGTACATTCATGGATGGAATTGCTCCACGGATGAGGGCTGAACATTGGAGGGCGTATGGATCCTCCAATTTCAAAAATTATGTTAGTTTTGGACCAATTCCAGCGGACAAGGCTACGATTATGTTGCTTCTAGATCATTTGGATTTAGCCACGGGGAAGTTCTTTTTCAAGGATAGCCAAACTAGGACTCCACAAGCGTATACTTTTGATGTAAATTGGGTGCGTAAACATACCCGGTTTAATGATGAAGGAGATAAACCCGAAGCCAACCGCGACACAGAGAATAGGATATGGAACACATACTTCTCCAACAAACAACAATCCCAATACAAGAGTGGCCGAGACTACCTTGAGGCCCTATTGGAAAGATTGGTTCAGTCAAGAAAGAGGACAGATGTTTCTGATTTTGTTATGCTTCAAATCCTCTATCAACTCACAATGATATGGACTCCGACCGCAAGAATGAATGCACCCCGGCATATGTTCAAATATATAGCTCGGATAGATATGGTTGATAATTTGCCATGGGCGACGATCATCTACAAGGAATTGTGGGACTCTTTCAAGACTGCGAAGATAGCGAAGAAGGGGCAGACATATCTCATCGGCTGCGCTCCCTTGCTATCGGTGAGTTATATGTGTTATTTGTAAGTAATATGTTGCATTTGCACCTTATCTGTGATCATTACGTTTTACATGTGATATATGACATTTATATGTGACATTTGTATCTAATTTGTATTGTTTAAGTTTCCTATTTATTTGTAGTTTGTATGTGATATTATCTTGTTATATGAGATTATTTCCAATTAAATGTGATATTATCTTGTTATATGTGATAAGTGTCTTCTACATGTGATATATTCTAATCATATGTGACGTTTGTTACCCATGTGTGACATTTGTCCCTGATTTGTAACAGTTGTAGTTAATGTGTGAATTTATCTTCTTGTAAGTGATTATTGCCATTTATCTATGACATTTGTATCTAATATGTTCATTGATTGAATGTGGCCTTTTTTTGAAGCTATGGTATTATGAGATTTTCTAACATCAAAGAGCCGGCAAGAGTGGATGAATCCAAGCCTCCAATGATAAATTGGACATTGGAGGGTAAGAAGGTGGGTTCGGTGCGGACTACAATGATTTTGAAGAAATCGGAAGCCGCAATCCACATCTTACCGGAGCAAGATGTGGCGAGGTATGTTCACGAGGAGATAAAGCCCAGTCCTACAACAGTGAAGGCTAAAGTTGAGGAGGAAGTTAGGGGTAAAAAATCATTGGGGAAGAAAAGAGTCCAAAAAGAGGTAATGTTGATGATTTGGATGTGTCATCCTCTTATTTGTGACTTTTGCTCACTATCAGTTTATTGTTAATGTAGGACGAAGCTTATGAAAAATTGGTGATGTTGAATGAAGCCTATGAGCAAGCACTTGTTGCTCGCGGCGTTGATATTTTGGCTATTAAAGCCGAAGCTGAGAAAAAATTTGCTGAGGAGAAACGTATAAGGCAAAACAAAGGAGAGGTAATAGCCTATGTCCTGTGTCACATGAGGGGGAAAAATTATTGAGAAAATATTTGCTGAATTGAAATTGGTTATTGTTTTTACATCTATGCAGCCACAAATAGAAGAGGCATTGAGTGAAGGTGATCAAACCCGAGAGATGGACATTGAACTGGAGGAGGTAACTCTCCTTTGTGATATTTGTTGTTTTCCTGTGACATTTACAGCTTATTTGTGATAGTTCCCTTTGGTATGTGACAATTGTCTGCCTATTGTGACATTCATATGTCTCTTGTGACATTTTGTCTAATAATGGGACGTAAACAGTTTAGTGTAATGTTTGGTTATTACTTGTGATAAATGAATATTTCCTGTGATATATATTCATGTCTTATTTCTGTGATATATATTCATTAACTGTGAGTGGTATACAGGCTAAAGTTGAGGCAGAGAAAGAAGAAGGAAAGGGAGAGGAGGGAGGCAAAGAAGGTGATCAAACCCAGGCCATGGGCAGTGAACAGGAGGTAACTTTCTTTTGTGATATTTGCTTATTGCATGTGACATTTACTGCTTATTTGTGACAGTTCCCTTTGGTATGTGACAATTTCTACATATTGTGCCATTCATATGTCTCTTGTGACATTTTATCTAATAATGTGACGTAAACAGTTTACATGTGATGTTTGGTTATTATTTGTGATATATGAATATTTCCTGTGATATATATTCATTAACTGTGATCTTTATACAGCTATGTGATGTAAAAGTTGCTGAGGATGTTCCCAAAAAGAAGAAGGGAAGGAAGAGGAGGGAGGGCGGCGATGATACTTTAAAAGCATTTGTTAGTGGGCTACGGGCAAAGAGCCAAAGAACAACAAAGAAGCCCAAGTTCTTAGAATCTCCCTTCCAAACTGAATTGCCAAAGAAGGGAAGGAAAGGGAAGAAAGGTGTCGTTGTGGTGGGAGACGACGACGACAAGGGGGAGAAGGATGAGGGGAAGCCACTTGCTGTTTCACACCTCGGTAGGAGTACATCTGTTGCAGAGCTATGGAAAAGGGAAAAAAGTGAAGAGGAAAAAAAATTATTAGAGACGTTGAATATGGGCATTCCTTCTTCACAAGACTTTGATGTCAGGCTACCGGGAACAATCAACGAAGGCTTTTACCATAATTTCACCGTTGAGGACATTCCTGATGTGTCGGCTGATGAGAACAAGTGGCTTCAACATTTTCTTACATTAAAAGTTGACAAGTAAGTATTAAGTGTTATTCTGTGATATTTATATTTGGTCTGTGATATTAAATGTTATTCTTGTGACATATAGTGTTTTCCTGTGACATTCAGTGTTTGTATGTGACATTTAGTATTTGTTTGTGACATTTAGTGTTTGTATGTGACATTCAGTGTTTGTATGTGACATTTAGTGTTTGTATGTGACATTTAGTGTTTTCATGTGACATATAGTATTTTCATGTGACATTTAGTGTTTGTTTGGGACCCTTAGTGTTTTCATGTGACATTTAGTGTTTGTATCTTTCATGTGACATTTAGTGTTTGTATCTGACGCAGTACATGTATGTGATATTTAGTGTTTTTCTGTGACATATGGTGTTTTCATGTGACATTTAGTGTTTGTTTGGGACCCTTAGTGTTTTCATGTGACATTTAGTGTTTGTATCTTTCATGTGACATTTAGTGTTTGTATCTGACGCAGTACATGTATGTGATATTTAGTGTTTTTCTGTGACATATGGTGTTTTCATGTGACATTTAGTGTTTGTTTGGGACCCTTAGTGTTTTCATGTGACATTGAGTGTTTGTATGTGACGTTCAGTACATGTATGTGATATTTAGTGTTTGTATGTGACATATAGTGTTTTCCTGTGACATTTAGTATTTGTATGTGACATATAGTGTTTTTCTGTGACATATAGTCTTTTCCTGTGACAGTTAGTGTTTGTATGTGACATATAGTGTTTTCGTGTGACATTTATTATTTTCCTGTGACATTTCATATTTTCCTGTGACAGTTTGGTGTTGATTAGAATATGTTGCTTATACATTGATTGTCTTCTACATTTTGTAGTCGGTTATGTTTTGAGGTTGAAGACCACACTATATGCAGATATGATATGCTACATCTTCAACGTGGTGGAAGATTAAAGGATGAGGTTAGTTTTTGTTTAAGTTGCGGTGTTAATCAAGTTTTGCACAATTACAATAACTTATTACATTTGCAATCATCAGATCATTGAAGCTCTGGTTGCAAGTCTTCGAACATGGCTCAAGCTGCCAATAAATGCCCATGTCGAAAGAAAATACGCTATTGTCACGTCGTATTTTAGTGTGAGTAATGACGATCATAATACAATTTGAGTTATATTGCATTTATATGACTTTCTTTTGCTTGCTGTATTTTCTGTTTTCAACAGATTTGGTTGCTAACTGCTTCAAATTTGGATGAGCGCAATGTCTATAAAAATTACATAAAGAAGCATATAGATGAAGGGAAGGATGTGTTGATAATTCCAATATGTCACGCTGACCATTGGCATGTCCTTGAGGTCAACTTGGGGCAAAAAAAATGCAGACATTATAGCTCCGCTGACCATGAGGCATGGGCTAGAGACGTGTTGACCATCCAGCTTTTTTTAGATAGGATGGTGAGTGGTTTCGATCAGGCGTCAACATTCAGAGCATTCCAATATGAAGCAGTCCCTTGTCGAACGCAAAAAGGCTCGTAAGTTTCTTATACTTAACCATGAGATTGTTGCATGGCTTGTTGTATGGCTTAGTGACATTGTCGGTGCAAATATTGATGTGATATTTGCGGACTACAAGTGACTTTTGGGCATGTTATGTGACAGTTTAGTATGCAGTGTGACTTATGCTGCTATTATGTGACATTTTGATATTGTATGTGACATATTAGGTAACTGTGTTTTATTCTCGTTACCCGTTACATATCCTGCTATTAAGTGTTATGTTATATTTTTACAGATATGATTGTGGCATACATGCGTATTTTTTCATTAAGGCGATCCTCGAGGGAAGGGAGGTGATGGACATTGAAGTCTTGCACAGGGAGTCGCATATGCTACGGGCTAGACTTGCTGCTCAAATTATATGTGAAGGGCGTGAATGGAAAAAGCTACGGTTGAAATTAGACAGTGATGATCCAGAATATCTATTGTACTTCGGGGGTAGTGATGCACCTATGATTGAGTGGAAGTATTAGACTCTAGATGTAATTGTTTCATTTGTTGGATGTCCTGTGATGGATGTTGGTCGTTTAACTGCTGTTTAACTGCTGTTTGTAAATGATAACCAGTTTACTAACATAGATGGATATGACCTGGTGATCTTTTCTTTACCATATTAAAGATGAACATGATCTTGGTGCTGTGTGTGACTTTTGGGTCTGCTGTGTGACATTTTAGAATGCTGTGTGACTTCTGCTCTTTTTATGTCACAGTTTGATATTCTGTGTGAGATTTTGGTGCTGTTATGATGCTCGGTTATAGAGTTTTTTTTGTCTTCTACATGCGTATTTTTTCATCAGGATGTTAATGTCACATAGAATGTTATGTCACATATAAGTAGTGCTGTTATGTTGCTCAGTTTGATATTTTTCCATCAGGATGTTGTTGGGTCCTCGAGGGACGGGATGTTATGTCACTTTTCATGTGACATTTAGTGTTTGTTTGGGACCCTTAGTGTTTTCATGTGACATTTAGTGTTTGTATCTTTCATGTGACATTTAGTGTTTGTATCTGACGCAGTACATGTATGTGATATTTAGTGTTTTTCTGTGACATATAGTGTTTTCATGTGACATTTAGTGTTTGTTTGGGACCCTTAGTGTTTTCATGTGACATTTAGTGTTTGTATGTGACGTTCAGTACATGTATGTGATATTTAGTGTTTGTATGTGGCATATAGTGTTTTCCTGTGACATTTAGTGTTTGTATGTGACATATAGTGTTTTCCTGTGACATTTAGTGTTTGTATGTGACATATAGTGTTTTCGTGTGACATTTATTATTTTCCTGTGACATTTTGTATTTTCCTGTGACAGTTTGGTGTTGATTAGAATATGTCGCTTATACATTGATTGTCTTCTACATTTTGTAGTCGGACAATTTTTGAGGTTGAAGGCCACACTATATGCAGATATGATATGCTACATCTTCTACGTGGTGGAAGATTAAAGGATGAGGTTAGTTTTTGTTTAAGTTGCGGTGTTAATCAAGTTTTGCACAATTACAATAACTTATTACATTTGCAATCATCAGATCATTGAAGCTCTGGTTGCAAGTCTTCGAACATGGCTCAAGCTGCCAATAAATGCCCATGTCGAAAGAAAATACGCTATTGTCACGTCGTATTTTAGTGTGAGTAATGACGATCATAATACAATTTGAGTTATATTGCATTTATATGACTTTCTTTTGCTTGCTGTATTTTCTGTTTTCAACAGATTTGGTTGCTAACTGCTTCAAATTTGGATGAGCGCAATGTCTATAAAAATTACATAAAGAAGCATATAGATGAAGGGAAGGATGTGTTGATAATTCCAATATGTCACGCTGACCATTGGCATGTCCTTGAGGTCAACTTGGGGCAAAAAAAATGCAGACATTATAGCTCCGCTGACCATGAGGCATGGGCTAGAGACGTGTTGACCATCCAGCTTTTTTTAGATAGGATGGTGAGTGGTTTCGATCAGGCGTCGACATTCAGAGCATTCCAATATGAAGCAGTCCCTTGTCGAACGTAAAAAGGCTCGTAAGTTTCTTATACTTAACCATGAGATTGTTGCATGGCTTGTTGTATGGCTTAGTGACATTGTTGGTGCAAATATTGATGTGATATTTGCGGACTACAAGTGACTTTTGGGCATGTTATGTGACAGTTTAGTATGCAGTGTGACTTATGCTGCTATTATGTGACATTTTGATATTGTATGTGACATATTAGGTAACTTCCATTTATTCTCGTTACCCGTTACATATCCTGCTATTAAGTGTTATGTTATATTTTTACAGATATGATTGTGGCATACATGCGTATTTTTTCATTAAGGCGATCCTCGAGGGAAGGGAGGTGATGGACATTGAAGTCTTGCACAGGGAGTCGCATATGCTACGGGCTGGACTTGCTGCTCAAATTATATGTGAAGGGCGTGAATGGAAAAAGCTACGGTTGAAATTAGACAGTGATGATCCAGAATATCTATTGTACTTCGGGGGTAGTGATGCACCTATGATTGAGTGGAAGTATTAGACTCTAGATGTAATTGTTTCATTTGTTGGATGTCCTGTGATGGATGTTGGTCGTTTAACTGCTGTTTGTAAATGATAACCAGTTTACTAACATAGATGGATATGACCTGGTGATCTTTTCTTTTCCATATTAAAGATGAACATGATCTTGGTGCTGTGTGTGACTTTTGGGTCTGCTGTGTGACATTTTAGAATGCTGTGTGACTTCTGCTCTATTTATGTCACAGTTTGATATTCTGTGTGAGATTTTGGTGCTGTTATGTTGCTCAGTTATAGAGATTTTTTTGTCTTCTACATGCGTATTTTTCTATCAGGATGTTAATGTCACACAGAATGTTATGTCACATATAAGTAGTGCTGTTATGTTGCTCAGTTTGATATTTTTCCATCAGGATGTTGCTGGGTCCTCGAGGGACGGGATGTTATGGAGATTTTTTTGTCTTCTACATGCGTATTTTTCCATCAGGATGTTAATGTCACACAGAATGTTATGTCACATATAAGTAGTGATGTTATGTTGCTCAGTTTGATATTTTTCCATCAGGATGTTGCTGGGTCCTCGAGGGACGGGATGTTATGTCACACAGAATATCATAAAGGCAAAATTAGTAAATGTCGCAACAAAATAGCGCAATTATCTATATGTCTAAACAGGTAATACGTCACACGAACAGGTGATATGTCACATATAAGTAGTTAATGTTACAACAAAATGTAATAATTTTCATTTACATGTAATACGTCACATATAAGTACAAAATGTCACAATAAAACGGCAAAAGTAACATGTAACAAAAAATAATCACAAAAGAGTCCGCAATCTGCCAGGAAACGTTAATCTTGGATAGGTTCAGTGCATGTGGCTCGGTTATGTCCTTCAGCGTGACATCTTGAGCATCTAATTGCACGTCTATTCTCAGATCTGTTGTTGATACGTCTATTCTTGTTCCTTCCACGTCTCTTTGTCGTCTTTGGGGGAAGAATGCTAACTGTTTCATCCGTTACATCTGGCTTATCACAATTTGGAACAGGAAAGAGAATTGGTTCGTAACTTTTCTTAAAAGCTTCAGTCGTCATGAACCAATCGCAAAACTGGTACACATCTCTCTATGCATAAAGTTGATAGCAGCACACGCATGTTTACATGGTATTCTCAATATATCCCATGCACGACACGTGCATGTTTTGTGATCCAAATCAACTTGTACTGATTTTTGTGATGATACCTCAAAGATTTCAGCTGTAGAATGCGATACTTCAAGAGTGCTTCCCTTGGTGACATTTTCTTGGAGGATTTTTTCCGCTTCTGGACATAGATAGCTATTCCAATTTGTTGCCATCACGCGGCGAGTATTCATTCTTTCCATAATTTGTACACGAATGTGATCCATCATATCACAAATGGGAAGTGTTCTCGCCACACGAATCCAACTGTTGAAAGATTCAGCAACGTTGGAAGTGATATGACCATATCTGTGAATCAAACAATAATTTCAAAAAATGAAAATTACAGCGTATCCGTCACATATAAATATCAAATGTCGCAGGAGAATGCTAACGATCACAGCGCAGGGCTAAGTGTCACAGTTAATGGCGTACTGCCACACGAGACATGTAAAGGTCACAAATGACTTTTAAAAGCTCAAATTCATATAAAAGCATAATGTCACAAGTAAAGGCAATGATATTTGACATACCTTATACCAGGAAATACGGAATTCGCCCAATTACTTGGTCCATAACTTAGAGCTACTTGGTAAGCTCTTTGATCTGTCATCCTAATCTGATGTAAAACAGCTTTAAATTCTCTTTCTGTGTACTTGTATGCAGCAAACTCCAATAATTTTGAAATACGTTGAGCCGCACTTGAGGCAAAACCCATCTCTCTAAGCTTCAATTTATAATTCTCAACAAGATGAAGTACACACCTAGAGTGGTACGCATCTGGAAATATATTTTTCAAAGATTGCTTTATTCCTTTGTCGGCGTCTGACAGAATTACAAGAGGATGGGGTGGATTGTATGGTTCTGTTCGATTGTACAATATATACCGCAATCCTTGAATAAACCAACTCCAATTCGCTTCATTTTCTTGGTCACAAACGGAAAATGCGAGTGGAAATATGCCTTGATTACCATCATAAGCAGTCGCACCTAATAGGATCCCTTTGTAGCGATCCTTCAGAAAAGTCCCATCTAGAAAGAGCAATGGCCTACATCCCTTGAGAAACCCCTGTATGCATGCACCATACGACACAAATAAACGTTTGAATCTCGTGTCTTCTTGTTCAATGGTGAAGACACTTCCTGGGTTTGTTTCCATCACCTTCATTTGGTACCTAAAAATGTTTAAATGTCACATATAAGGTCCAAACGTCACATATAAGGTCCAGATATCACATATAAGGTCTAAACGTCACATATAAGGACTAATTGTCACATATAAGGTCCAAATATCACATATAAGGTCTATATGTCACATATAATGTCCAGATATCACATATTTGGTCTAAATATCACATATAAGGTCTAAATGTCGAATAGTATATTGACATGTCACATTTACAGTTGGTCATATCACCTTCATTTGGTACCTAAAAATGTTGGTTAAATCACAAATAACTTGTTAAATAATGAATATCTAAATATCACATGTAATACTCAAACGTCACAAATAAGGTCCAAATATCACATAGAAGGTCCAAATATCACATATAAGGTCTAAAGGTCACATATAAGATCCATATGCCACAAGGAATGTCCATATGTCACATATAAGGTCTATATGTCACACAGAAGGTCTAAATGTCACGTACAAGGTCCAAATATCACGTTTGTTTCCATCACCTTCATTTGGTACCTAAAAATGTTGGTTAAATCACAAATAACTTGTTAAATAATAAATATCTAAATATCACATGTAATACTCAAACGTCACAATTAAGGTCCAAGTATCACATATAATTTCCAGATATCACATATAAGGTCGAAATATCACATATAAGGTCTAAATGTTATAAGGTCTAAATGTCGAATAGTATATTGACATGTCACATTTACAGTTCCCGTGTTTGTTTCCATCACCTTCATTTGGTACCTAAAAATGTTGGTTAAATCACAAATAACTTGTTAAATAATAAATATCTAAATATCACATGTAATACTCAAACGTCACAATTAAGGTCCAAGTATCACATATAATTTCCAGATATCACATATAAGGTCGAAATATCACATATAAGGTCTAAATGTCACATGTAATGTCTAAATGTCACATCTAAGGTCCAAATATCACCTATAAGGTCTAAATATCACATATAAGGTCCAAATATCACATATAAGATCCAAATGTCACATATAAGGTCTAAATGTCACATAGAATTTTGACATGTCATATTTACAGTTAAGTGTGATATAAATGTCACATATAAGGTCTAAATGTCACATAGAATTTTGACATGTCATATTTACAGTTAAGTGTGATAGATATACGTTCTAAAGGAGATTTACAGTTAAGTGTGATAGATATACGTTCTAAAGGAGACATCAACAATTCGCTTGGACTAACCAGGATAATAAATCATATGAATGCCTTGCACAACCAAATATTTGGTCTTTTGCCGTCTCCTTAGCACGCCAAGCTTTAGAATAATTAACTCTTAATCCATATTGAGAGTGCAATTCCTTTCTAATGTCAGTTGGGGTAATATATGGACGCCTCTTCATAACTGATTGTAGCATACTCGCAATCCACCTTCTTGATGCTCTGAAGTGACCAGCTGTGCTGTTATGTTGTCCGCATGTATGTTGAGGAACAAATTTTTTTATAGCAAAGGTTGACACATTCCTCAATGGTGAAGCGAAAAGCAACCACGGGCATTTTGTTTCTTTTCTGAACATGCAACTAGCACGAATACGTTTTGGCTCATTGTTAACATAATTAAAAGCAAACTTCTTAGCTATAGAGTAGTATATAAGAGCCATTCTAACTTCTTTTGCACTTTCAAATTGCTGCCCTTTTCCAGTAATTGCCTCGTGCCACCATGCTGGGATCCGTGACGAGTCACTTACTACATCGTTCATCATCCACACATGCTCTCCTTGAGGGTTGTCGTTTGGGATCCTCTCTGATTCCTCGATTGTGATCCTCTCATAAGGTTCCTCGATATGCTCTGATGACTGTGTGCTAACATTAGGAACACTGCAGGTTGAAAGATAAGGTCACAAGTAAGTCACGTGTGATACTTACCAGTAAAGTCACATATAAGACCTAAGTATCACAAATAAAGTCCATATGTCACAAATAAAGTCAACTTGTCACGTTGGATGTCTTCAGGTCACATATATAACGTAATATGTCACGTGTATCCAGAACCTGAAAATATATTTTTGAATACTTACCTAAGCTCCGTTTCTGTCCCTATGGCATGAGTGGGTCCTTCATCTCTTTTAGTAACAGTCATGGTTACTGTATTTAACCCCATTGAACGATGATAATCTATCATGTTGAGAATATCTTCATCTTTTGAAAGCTCAAATGAGACATTGGGAAACTTCTCGATAGAGTAACTTATCAACAAACTTTCGTACGATTCTCTAAAATTCTCTGCAACGATCATCTTCAATTCAGCAAATATTGTTGTCGAATTGACTTTAATGAGGGTTGCATTACTGTTAAATGAAATCACACACATTAAGGAATCTTCCATTGTGGTTGTTGAAGAAGTTAAGAGGAAAAAGTTAAGAATATAAATGGTTGTTGAAGGTCTTAGTAGTAGATCTAAAGAGGGAAGAGTATATATTACATTGAAATGAGGCATGAACAATTTTGGAGGGAACTTAGTATCTTTTTCCCTCCATTTTTCCCTTTTCCCTCCATAAAACCTCTCTCTAGCTAGAAACGGAAGTGACTTCAAATCTGACTTCCGATTTGATGGGTTGCTTTACTGGCCAACAAGATAAAAAAACTCACCTGGTATTCCCAAAATCGGAGGAGTACAAAGGGTAAAAAGGGCAATTGGCAAAAATACACTATAAAGTATATATACAATCTTGGGTTTGGGGTGTAAAAGCATTACAACTTGGGTCAAGGTGCCCCCGAGTGGTTGACTTTAGTTGGAGGGTGGGGATGAATGACCCAAATTAAGTTGGTTCCCCCAAGCAATTTTCCCTTAAATAAAATAGCTGAAGGAGGTTATCTGCAGCACCACAAAGTAACAAAAAAAAAGTTATTTCAATATTACTCCTTCAAATATTATAAATTAGCCTTTTCAAGTTATTAAAATTACCATTAGGTCTCCCATCTCTTAAGTTATTTTAAAACTATCCCTCAAATCAACGAAGTTGCTATTACCTCCGCCAATTTTAATAAATTATTTCAAATTTGTTCCTCTAAGTACTAATTCTATTTATAACCCGAAAGAACTAAGTTTAAAATAACTTGAGAATTAAAAGACCCAACAACAATTCTAATAATTTAAGGGATTAATTTCAAAATAACTTGAGAAATAGGGGGACACAATACGAATTTCAATGAATTAGGGAGTGGGTAACAAAATACAAACGATACGAGAGACCAACGCGAAAAACTCTTGACGAACCATTTAAGCCCCGTTTGGTTCCGGTTTTTTGGATGGGTAAAAGGGGGGGAAACTGCAAAAAATGTCAGCTTTTTAGCAGCTTTCCCCAAAATCGTCTCTATTAAATTTTAGTTTTTTGGCAGCTTTCACCCAAAATCGCTTCTATAATAGAAATGATTTTGGAGAAAACTGCTAAAAACTGACATTTTTAACGGCTTTCCCCCATTTTCCCCATCCAAAAAACCAATCAAAACAGCCCCTTGGGGCACAGAAGCAACAACCGTAAGGTTTCCATTTTATTTTTGAACAGAAAGGTAGGGAGGGCGGCAATGAAGAAGCGAAGCTCCTGATAAAGAGGCATGATTCCAGAGCTCAAGTGCCGAGAGGAATCATGTTGCCGCTTAGCATCAAGAAGAGCATCTCCGTCCTCCTTTCCGAAAATACCCATCTAATTCGGTTCTCCTCTGCACCGTCACCAGCCTCTAAAGCCCTGGACCCTTCATCTCCTACGTCCAACCTCATAGCTCAGTGCCTAATAAACTCGTGTGGGTTCTCCTCACAAAAGGCATCCGCTGTCGTCAAACACATCCCCAGGTCAACCCTCGTCGGCAACGCCCGCTCTGTGATGCATTTCTTCAAACACCACGGCGGCCTCACCGAAACCCACATTCGCAAGCTCATCTCCAACTACCCCTCCATCCTAAACGCCGATGTCGACAAAACCCTGAACCCCAATCTCCAAACTCTTCGGGAAATGGGCTTCGGTGAAGACGAGCTCCCGCTGCTCCTAACGTCCAATCCCCCTGTCCTTGTTAACCCTTTGGCAATCCCTCGCCTCGATTTCTGGCAATCCCTTATTGGAACCGTTAGTAGGAAGGAACTCGCATTTATCTTCAGTAGGAACCGGGGTCTCATCTCTCAGGTCATAGATTCATCGATTGCCCCGAAGATTATCCTTTTGAAGAGTCACGGCATTCCCGAGACCGAAATAATCCGAATAATCAAGAGGGGTCAGGGTCTTATCAGTAGGAGCTTGGGATCAATTGAGGCTCTGTTGAGGAGAGTACAGGAACTAGGGTTCGATGTGAAAACTCCGATGTTTGGGCAAGCATTATCCGCCCTCAGTGGCGTTAGAATGGATAATGTTGAAGAGAAGATGGAGTTCTTTAAGGGGTTTGGGTGGTCGGAAGAGGAGTTCCTTTCTGCAGTCACAAAAGCCCCTTACCTTTTGCGTATCGCAAAGGATAATGTAGTGGAGAAGATGGAGTTCTTGGTGAAGGAAGCAGGGTGCGAGCAGTCTTGCATTGCTTCGAACCCCTTGCTCCTAATGTTCAGTTTGGAGAAGAGGTTGAAGCCTCGGAATCTCGTGCTGCAGATCTTGAAGTCAAATGAAATTGTTCAGATACGGACCCTTTCATACATCATGTCCCTCTCAGAGAAAACTTTCTTACAGAATATTGTTCTCCGTCATAAGGAACAAGTGCCAAAGATCCATGAGATTTATCTCGCTGCTTGTGCTGGTAAACTGCCGATCTGAGTGATAACAGCGAAAGAGGCTTCTATTGCTAAGCTTCATTTTATAGTAAGTGACTTGCCGATTCTAATACCCAACTTCGTGTGTTTGCTTCACTAATCAACTCATGTGGTTGTGAGCATCTCAAGACTTAAGATTGGTTGTATCTACTTTCAGTATGCTATTCTTCAATCTGGCAGCTAAACGCCAGTTGCCTAAATTGATTGTTCTTTTGATAATAATATCCATTCAATGTTTTTACAAATTATGAACTTTATCCAATAAGATTCACAACTCCTTTTGGAGGGAAAACAAATCCATAAACTTGCTTGGCATCTAGAAATGTCTGCTCTAAACTTAGCGCACAACATATTATGATGTTCCTAAATTTCCAATTGGTTTTCGGATTTACTCTTCCTAGCGCTGATTCTAGACCATAGCATGCACCAGATTTTTCTGGACATTGCAGTAGAAAAGATGACCGGAGAGTTACGAGTAGCGAGTCATCAGAAAGGCAAGTCCAGTTATAGTCTTATGGATGCTTACATATATGTCGTTATAGTATCAATGTCCTTGTTCCTTAACCCATGTTCTTTGCTTTGGAGGTCATACATTTGTGGTTTATATCTTGGACTTCTCTTTATCTCTTTATGTCGATTTTGATTTTTTTAATGAATCTTCACGACGTGACCCTATGGCTACTCATGGGAGGATTATCTTCGCTCTAAATTTTAGATAATAGCTAAGGCAGTTTTATCTGTTTCTTTGCTCAACCTAAAACAAATGGAAATTACATTCAATTGCGATAAACCCTAGGTAGCCGCAGCCCATAGGAATGATGTGGTTGCCATGTGCGCAGATAATAGTATAGCATGATTGCTCTCATGGAAGCATAAATAGGGTGAACTTCTGTTCAATTTGGTTCTGTCTTTCCCATTTTATGGGAAACTAAAATAATATGAAATTGGACAAATTCAGTCAGTTTTGTTCGGCTTCTCAGTTTATTTTATAAATATTCATATATTTCTACAAGTTATTAATTAAATATTTTATATACTTGTTAAACACAGCCAATAATGTTGATACTAAATATTATACTTATGTGTTAGTTTGTTACCCTTGGAATGCATGATCACTCGAAAGAGAGATGACTTGATGATTATGGATGATCCGGGAGAGGAGGGAGGGAGATTCTTAAGTTATTTTAATTAGTACCTCTAATTAAGAGTATAAATAGCAATTAGAAGGATTGATTTGAAAAACCATATGAGAATTGGGGGACCCAGTAGCAATTTCAATGATTTGAGGGACTAATTCTAAAAGTTAAAAGATTCAAAGGACTAATATCAAAAAATACGCAAAATAAGAACAGTACACTATGCTTGGATTCCCACCGCCCCACCCCAACTCCCCAACCCCCCGCCCCCCCCCCAACCCCCACCCACTCAAAGACAAAAGGAAAAACCAATTAAAATTTCCGGCTTTAGTATTTCATCACAGCAGAGAAAATCTACCCAAAAACACAAAAGATTTGGTTTGCAAACAGGTAACAAAGGACATGAGACTACTGAATTAATTTATTTGAGGCTCTAAAGAACGAAGCGGTTGACAGGATATTATGGAAATATAATTTGTTTGGGCTACAAAGCACATAGTACTCCTGCGATTTGTCACTCGCTAGATGTAGTACTTATTTGTTGTGTTGCTGGCAAAGAAGAAATCACTGCACGTGTCTTCGTGGGCCCAGCTGGTATTTGCAGCTAGGAGGGAGGGAGGGATAATAATGCATAGCATATGGGATCTATTCATTATGATTTATGGGTTTGGAAACTTGGAAGACAAGTTAAATAATATGTAAGAAATATTTTTTTGGAAAGCAGTGGTAGTCATGGATGCCCAAATATTATCATTCCTGCATTCAGTTACAACTGTTTTAGTATAGAGTTATAGGTACTCAAACTTAACTATTTGAAAATTAGCTTCATACTTTAGTTTTTAGATCATATACTAGTCTAAAATGAAACATTGGAAAGTAGTAGTAGTAATGGATAGCATATGGGATCTATGCATTACGTGATTGGAAACTTGGAAGGCAAGTTAAATAATGTATGAGAAATATTTTTGGAAAGTTGTAGTAGTAATGGACTTCCAAATATTGTCATTCCTGCAACTGGTCACATCTGTTTTAATACAGAGTAATAGGTACTCAAAACTTAACTATTTAAAAATTAACTTCATACCTTAGTTTTTAGATCATATACAAATCTAAAATAAAACGTTATTCAGTTCTGGATGAAAATGAATAAAAAGCTGTTTTCATTCTTCAAAAAAGAAAATTTACTGTAATAGATATTGGTTATTTTAGGGGACATTAGTTTGAGATTTGGATCTGGAGTTGTAGCTTTAGTACAATAGAATAAAACATCTCAGCATGTGGAAGTTTTGGACTTGGCTGTTGGGTCAAGAAGAATCGAAGGGAAATTTATGCGGAGAAATATAAAAAAAAAAGATGAGGGAAAAATATTGGTTTTAGTGCAAAGCCTTTAAGCTAGCCAGATGTTTAACTTGCATAGTTTAGTCTTCGAAGGCTTGAATAGATGAAAGGTTGGAGAGTCATTCCAATCGTATAGGATCTTTATATACTTTAAACTTCTACTTTTAGGGAAATAAAATAATTTGATATCTCTAGATAACTTGCTGCCTGACAAGTGACAACTTAGAGAAATCTTTTACTTTAGGAATTTTTACTTGTCTAATTCTTCTGACATTGGTGCTTGACCGTTTTGTAGGTCCGTCACCTTGGGGGGAAAAGAAGAAGAGAGTAAGAAGATGGAAGATTCTTAAGGAGGTCATGCATCTCAGATTTAGTGGATCACTCTACGGAGATGATGATGGCGATGAAGATAAGTTGGATATGCACGATCCCAGGGCAAGCACCGGTAGATATGCCGATTCATAGGGAGGATATTGTAGAGATCAATATTGTTTGAGTTTAATTTTGGATCTATCAGTGATTTATGTGTACTTATTATTCCTTTTTATTTGTATATATGCATCTGATCATGTGTTTTCTTTTGAATTGTTCGTGCTTGGTTGATATTTACTATGATGTAAACTTTAAGAAGAAGGGGAGGAGGATGTTGGATTTTCACATTTCCACTAAAGAAGAGTCATGATATATGCAAAATTTACGGGGTGGTGCAGGATCATTGATCACTTTGAGGTCAAACCTTATTGCTGTCGTTGTTGCTATTTGTTTTCAGGGATGATGCCTAATGGTAATCAGATTATTTCGAAGTCTTTATATAGGTTTTTTCATGGCTTCTCATAATTATTCGTTACTTCTTAAACTATTTCCTTATTTTCTACAGTTGTGGCATTCATTGCGTAAACACGTGTTTTTTATTTCTCACGACGTACCATTTTTGTATATGAATAAGTTTGAACTAGAAAAGAAGTAAAGAGATAGAAATTTAAAGTGAATCTGTACAGCAGTGGTAAACAATGAATCTTGACATGTAGTTCAATATGAATCTTGATATGAAGTTAACAATACGGTGTGCACAGAGACAATATACTAGTTTTCGAGTCCTCGGCATCTTCTAGTTCTTCCAGCAAAAGATCCCTCACTGCTGCTGCTGGAGCTAGAGCTAAATTCCAAGCTAAATTCCCGATCCATGCTCGAAAGAATTTTCATGAGCCATAATTTCATTGTGGATGATAAGTATAGGGGAGTAGGAAGTAGAGATTGACGGGGGCTATTAATAATGTTCGCCATGGTTACTAGAAACTGCAGTTAGGAGTGGTTTTTGATGGAGAGGGAGAAATAGATGGAAAATAAAGGACAAGAAAGTGGAGTTTGCTCCTTTGTTCCGCCCGCTGCGCCTTCTTTGCTGTTGTCTAATGCACAACAATTGTCAATAAAGACACGTTTTGTTGTATTTTGTCAAAAATCGAGAATTATACAATGAACATGGAAAGTGGACAATCACCAGTGGAAAAAAAAACACAAAGCATCCTAGATAGACGGAAAAAAAACACAAAGCATCCTAGATAGACAAACCTCTGACACCCCAACTTTAGTCCCATATCGGGAATTTATAGCGAAATTGTGTGGCTTAAGTACGTAAGCCCAAGACTCATATAAAGCTCGGGCTCACAGGCCCATTGGAGCGTGTGAGCTGTATGACCCACTAAGTGTAACGCGTTGTTTGACTCCAACCGCTGCCAAAATCGATTAGGCGATGCTACACTTGAGCCTTGGGCTTACCTATTCAAGCCACACGATTTCACTATAAATTCCCGATGTGGGACTAAAGTTGGGTCTCACAATCACCCCACCTTACAAAGGCGACGTCCTCATCGCGAACTGACAATTGTGCACGTCCCAGTATCACCAGGCGACGCAGTGTAGCACTTCGACATGACAATTGACACAATCCAGTCTCACCAGGCGACACAGTGTAGCACTTCCCATTGAGTGTAGCATGTTGTTTGCCTCAAAACATTACCAAAATCAACTAGCCAATGTTACACTTGAGCATTGGGCTTACCTATTTAAGACACACAATTTCGCTATGAATTCTCAATGTGGGACTAAAGTTTTGGGGGGGGGGGGGGCCCCACAGGGTTCACACAAGGCTGCAGTCCAAGGTGAAAGCCGGGTTGTCAAACTTGCCATGCACCAACACCGTGCAACAACATGTTGCACCATCACAGTTACTATCTCTCTAGTAGAATCAACAAACAGGTGTAGGTACAAACATGCAAATAATAATGAAGTAGTATATGAACAGAACAATACAGAAGAAGTATGAGAATAAACACCACATGAGCCCAAATGAAATAATATATGAATATCTCTGAACTGTAACAGATGTATCATGTCTCAAAATAAAGAGTCAAAAGAAATCTCTCTAAAGCACTCAAATTCTACAAAATAAAATACAAGTCTAGAGTTTGAAAATAAACAACTAAATGTGGAGCTCTGAAATAACTACAAATATAAATAACTAGATGGAATCTAAGATGCAATCCCATCAACCTGCGACTCTCCATATGATGGACTCGCTGTCTGAAAAAGGGGGAATCAACGGGCGTTAAAGCGCTAGCGAGATCATTTCCACCGCCCCTAGGGGGAAGTGGTAGGAGTATATAAGAAAATATTATCAGTACATATAAGTATAAAAATCATTCATATAACTCTAAATGGAGATTGGTATCTGTAGGCTGTAGGGTCGAAAAAATTAATGTTGGGATGGATTTTCTTGTTTTAAGAAATAGGTTCGATCACTTGGTACGAAACCCTTACAATCACTCACACTCTCTCTCGATTACAGAGGAAGAGAATATTAATTCAGCTTCTCTTTTGTTTAAGGTGGGTTCTAGGTGGCGAAAGGATGCTTCCCCTAATGCTTGAGTCGAGCTTGTCTCCCGTTGACGATCAGACCAAGATCACAAGAGCTTCTGACGTAGGTTAACCGGTTGGAATCGAGGTTCGAACTCCGGATTGACGTGCAGAAACTTTAAGCTCTGATGATTCTCTAAGTCCAAGCTTGAAATTCTCCAATTCAGAATAATCAACCAACCCCTTTCTCTGTAGCCATCGATGGCTATTTATAGGGTTTTAAGCACGTAACCGACGTGCTACAATATTGGGGTCATGGGCGTAACTGATGCGCTGCAATTGTGGAGTCGTGGCGTAACTGACTCCTTGAATTTAGCCCACGTGTCTGACTGGGTCTTTGTGACCGTTACAGCCTGATTTAATGTGGGTGACGAACTTCACTGCATTGGCAAACCTCGTCCTTGATGTCGAGCCTCGCTGCGTGGCGAGCCTCGTCTTTGAAGTCAAGCCTCGCTGCGTGGCGAGCCTCGTCTTTGATGTTGAGCATTGCTGCGTGGCGAGCCTCGTGAGTTGACGAGCTTTAAATCCGAACTTCACTTCCAATGATGAACTCCGCACCTCGTATCCAATAACGAGCTTTGAACCTCGTATCTAATGACGAGCTTTATCTTTGACAGCTAGAGTTCAACTCGTGTCCAATGACGAGCTTCGAACCCCGTATCCACTAGTGAACTTCGAACCTCGTATCCAATGACGAGTCTCGTATTCACTAGCGAACCTCGAACCTTATATCCAATGACGAGCTCCGAGTCTTGTAGATCCGTTTCATTCAATAATGAACTTTATCTTTCGACGTTGAGTTTTGCTGCATGGCAACTCTTGTTTTCAAGGTTGATTCTTTTCTAAACAACGAACCTCGTTTCTGATTGAAAAGGGGTTCGTTTCCCTGACCTCTCTTTTCACCTTTCGAATTTTGGCATTTTTTAATGTCTACATAGGGGTCTAAAAATGCCTATAGGTGTCCGTACACAGCTCGAGACAGAAAAAATACAACGAACGTCGTTATCCGGGTCTAAGAGGATTATCTGTCGTCGACAAGCGCATGAAGCGAAACGACATCACGCGCGCGTCAATGAATTGGAGGACGTACGTCGGTCAACACGCGTGTGTCAATCAGTTCATGCGCATTGGTCAACACACACGCACATCAACCAACGTGCGCATGTCAACCAATGCGCGTTCGACGGTCAGTCCCGCAACGAAGCGTGCAAGTCAACCAAATACGCGAAATGGGAGAAACTACAAGTCCCGGAAAGTCAAAAAGTCGAAAAGTCAGAAGAACACACAGAAAATCGGATTCCCCATGCTCGCGCTGGTCGGATCAGTCCGACCCACGCAAGCGCGGGTCAGATCCGTCCGACCCACGCCCCCCCCCTCCGCGCTGTTTCGAACCCCAAATGCATTTTTCGGTTTTAAAGCCGTTTTTCGCACATCTTATCTGTTCCAGGAGTTCCTAACTGACTTAATCTCATCTACAAACGTGGTTAGGCCGTTATCAACTGAAGATAAGGCCAAATCCATCATTCTCATCCGAAAACCCCCCAACCGAAGCCTATAAATACAGGCCTAGGGGCTCATTTCACGGGGGTGGATTATTATCAAGAGGAGGAGGTCCTGTCGAACTCCAGAGCTAAGAGTCACGAATTTCAGCGAGGATTTAGCGAGATCCCAGTGAACTCCAGCATAAAAAAGGAGCTATTCGAAGGATCTGAAGCACGTACGTCCGTTCCTTGATATTAGGCTTTGTCTTAATCTCGAGAAGAGCTACTGATTTCGCTTGGTCGATTTCAGCGCTTCAATCAAAGAGAAGAGCTACTGATTTCGCTTGGTCGATTTCAGCGCTTCAATCAAATACTCCCTCGGTGAAGGCGAAGCTCTGCCCGGTCGATTTCAGCGCTTCAATCAAATACTCCCTCGGTGAAGGCGAAGCTCTGCCCAATTTTCCATCAACCGGATCCAGATCTAAGGCGGTCCACAGATATTAAAATCCCCGGCACAAGCAAAGATCCCGCATAAGCAGAAGACCGATAAACGATCTCCCTGCATTTGTTTTGACGAGAGTTGTAATTTTTGTTTTCATTGTGTAAGAGTCTTATAAAAAGACTATCTTTTTTGTTTTCATTGTAACGACTGAAGTTGTAATGAATACCGCAATGAAGAAATCAACTTTCACCGCAAACAGTATTTAGAAATCCACAACACGAGAAGTAGTACGTCGAGCGAAATAATTCAAACAAGGAAACCCTCATATATATAACATGTCTCAAACTATGAATCGCTAAATACCAATTCTGATCCTATGAATGAAAACAGTACAAGAAGAAAAATATTCCAAACCTCTACCAAAATGAACCAATGTCACATCTTGAACTACCTTAGGGTAGTTGGTACAGTCATAAGGAAATATCATCCAGCTCAAATATCATCATAAGTCATATCATGTATGTCATGTATCCAAAACATACCCTACACTTGGATAATCTAACATGGGAGCAAACTATCCTTATCACATAACGATACTTTTGTAAGGTTCTCACATTCACATGTGGATTCAATGTCCTTACTCAATCGTTCTGCGGCAATAGGTTTTATCTCCCCTATTCTGGATGATGCATTCAGATGATCGTACCGCAGAATAAAGGCATATCAGCCCAATCCGAAAACACATCGAT